ACTGTAGAACTAAGCCTAAGGAGGCCCTCTGGGAAGTTCTCAGCAGAAATCACATACAAGCTGGAAATAACCTAATTTGTTGCTTTGTTTCTTAATCACTAGAGATACCACATCAGGAAAGGAAAACGCTGTTCTGCCTGATAAAGCCAATACTGAACTCTCTCCCACCCCATTTTTCAATAGACCCTCCCCAGATCCTGCAACAAGCAGGGGGTACGCAGAAACGCACCCAGTCGCATTTTCCTCCAAATGGGATCGGCAGGTGAACTCGTACGGCCTTGGCATGTTCTACCAGCGGCTTCCTCAAATAAGCATCTCTCTGCTGCCGACATCTAAAGCCCACCGCTGCTGTAGGAAGGTAGCCTCCATCAGGGGGTTCATAACTCGTGGGAATTGGAGCATCTGATGATACTTGGGAGCTCGACATGCTGCTGCAGCTTCCAAACTGCACAGGTCAATGCAGAAAGAATCCTAATAGGGTCCCAAACGTTGCATGGCGAGCCCCCAGGCCATCATGCGTCAGAGAGAGAATGCTGGTTTAGCACTCAGCGCCTCTTCAGTTCAACCCCTGGCCTCTCCAATTTATACATAGCAAGGGGATGAGAAAGAACTCTGCCTGAATTCCAGGAGAACTGTTCCCAGTCTGACTAGAGCTAAGCAGATGAAGAGCCCAACCTACAAAAAAAGGAGAGCATCCATGTTTCTACTTTGGAGTTTTGGCCAGTATCTTTTCTTGGACTACAACTCCCAGAATCCCCCAGCCGCCCCAGCAATAAGCTCTGAATTCTATCCCCTTCCTTTTACCTGCTCCATGCCATTAAACATCTCCTTTAACTCTCCCGCAGGCGTCAAGGTCCGGCTTGCTCTAATCGAAGCGTACGTGTGTCCGGAATCAGGAATATTGTTGGACAGTTCCTGAGCGGTCATCTTTACCAAGACTTTGAAATGTTCCTCATCTTCAAAATGGGGGCTGAGGGGGGTGGGAAGGGGGAGAGAATAAAACACCCATTCACTTCCGCAGATGACTTTACAAAGTTCTAATTCATGACGTGAATTTTCTATTTTTAGCACCCTCAACTTTTGTAAGTTATATTATAAAAAAAAGCCACTCGAGTTTTTATGACGCAACAAAGAACTATTTCTCAAAATAGAACGTACTTGTTGAATATTTCCGTCCACAGATTCATCATGTCAGGCAAATTTTTGTCCAGGCACAGAGAGGTGAAGAGAACACCCTGAAGGAGAAAAAACAGGAAAGATCAGGTCACTGGGCAAAGCAGTAAGAAAATACTCCAAGGAATTACTTCTATTAAGACACATTACACTAATCCGTGCAGCCAAGAAATAAGAAGAAGAGCAAGACTTCGAAAGGCAGCAATGAAGGAACTGGAAAAGCGCATCAACTGTAAGGATGTGTCGCTGGAGACCAAGGCCAAGACAGTCCACACTCTTGTGTGAAATCTGGATATCTAAGAATGCTGACAGGGAAAAAAAATGATTAATTTGAAATGTGGTGCTGGATGAGCATCTTCGGGATAACCTGGACTGCCAAGTGGGTCCTAGATGAAATCAAGTCTGAACTGTCTGTGGAGGCAAAACTGTTGAAACCGAGGCTGTTCAACGTTCGGCACATCATGAGATGCCAGGTGTTTCTGGAAAAGACAATAATGCTGGGAAATGTGGAAGGCAGCAGGAAAAGGTAGTGAGGAGGGATCTGCCAGGACAGGAGAGTATATCACTCATGGGGTGGGGCTGGAGGAACTGGACTGGCCTCTCGTTAGCTAATTATGCTCCATCCTCGATCAGGGTGATCTGCCCTGGGAACAAAAGCAGAGGCTTATGTTGTGATCACTGCCACACACTATAACAGCTGCAGCTCTTTGAATATTGTGGGACTCCAAGTTCCGTCGCTGCTCACTAGCACCGTTAAGTATCGGCACCCGTATTGCTTTTTCAAAACATTGGGTGTCTTGAGTTTTCAGGAACCCCAAAACGTGTATCTGGTAACAGCCCCAATGTGAAGGGAAAACTGGGGCCAGAAAACGATCTGAAGAACAACCCACCTGCTCATATACGTCCAGATGCGAATCATCGGCCGCGATGTGAGGGCTGACAGAAAGGCCACCAGTCTTGAGGTCTATCTGTAGAGACTGTTCTCTGTA